CCAGCCAGAGCAGCTGCAGGGAGACGCGGTGTTATAAATAACTCTGGGTCACCCTGTCCCCATCCCTGGGGGCTTCCTCGTGGGGCTGCATCCCTAGAACCAGCTGACTTGGTTGGATTTGAGTCCGGTGAAGCACATGTTGTTGGAGCAGCCTCCGCCATAGGTGGGGGGGCAGGCTGAGCACGGCCGCCCCATCTTGTAGGGTGCTTCTCCCAGCCAGTTGCCCCTAAAAAGAGAGGAGGGTGTCACATCTGAGCACCACCGCCTCGCCGCCGACGCCAGAGCAGCCGTTGAGGCAGGAGGACCATGCAGGGGGGCTTTGTCCCAGCACTTACTTGATGGCATAGTTGCAGACAAGGAGGATGGCGTGTCGCCACGTGCTGCCCCACACCCGCATGTTGGTGCAGGTGCTGAGGGCACAGCCCAGGCGGCTGGAGGATGCCCACACCATCTGTGCCGGGACAGAGAACAGGCACCGTCAGCGACCTCCCACCCAGGCACCCCTCAGCAGCCATCCTGGAACCCGGTGTAGGGCTCTGTCCCACCAGGGAATAGCATCCTGCCCACCCAAATTTCTCAGGCTGGATGCTGTGCCCATCACGGGCAGTGTTTTATCACCAGAGCCTGAGTCACTTCTCCGGACAAGGGGTAACAGGTTTAAATTGAAAGTGGGGAGGTTTAGATTGGATATCAGGAAGAAATTATTCACGGAGAGGGGGGGGAGGCACTGGAACAGGTTGCCCAGGGAAGCTGTGGATGCCCCATCCCTGGAAGTGTCCAAGGCCAGGCTGGATGAGGCTTGGAGCAACCTGGTCTAGTGGAAGGTGTCCCTGCCCATGGCAGGGGGGTTGGAACTGGATGGTCTTTAAGATCCCTTCCAACCCAAACCATTCTGTGATTCTATGATTCTATGATTTACCCAAGTTAGCTCCCAAATCTCACCTTGAAGCATCATCATCAGCTTACTCTGTACACAGGGAGGTGAAACAGAACCAGACACTCCTCCTGAAGCCTCTTCAGGCTGAATTTCTTCCTTAAAAATTGTATCTTGTCCATTTGCAACCCTGACCATCCCCACGGACAAGTTGCACGGGGGTGCAGTTGCTCTGCTAAAGGTTGGAGCTGTGCAGAGGAGGTAATTAGGAGTTGGCACAGCTCTGCCACCCAGCAGGGGAGCAGAGGGAGGTTTTCCACTGTGTGCCGGCCAAGGTGCCAGTGGATGTGCCAGGGGATGAAGGGGCTGAATTCCCGGGTGCTATAAAGCCGCTCCATCACAGAGGAGAGGATTTATGCTCAGCAAAAGCACAAAGGTTTTTTTTTATCTCCACCACATTTGAGGTACTAGTGGGGTAATAAGGAGAAAAAGGCCAAAGCAGGGAAAAAAAATGAAACAAAAGCTGTGCTCCAGCGGGCTGCGAGCCCCTGCGACCTCCCTGCCAGCGGCCCAATTCCCACAAGGGCCCGGGGTGGGAGGGCATTGCCGCCGGCTCCTGCACCCCTGCAGTGGGTGGCTGCCAGGATGCGACCCCAGAGGAGTTCTGCTGTGGGGAGAGGGGCTGCACAAGGTGCTGTGAGCTGC